AATTAACTTAAAAACATTGTCTTAAATTCATATTTTAAAAATGAAAAATTGTCTTTGCAATAAATATGACAGAATTTTCAAATGATAAAGTTAATAAAATAATGTGAAAAACAACTCAGTATCAAACTCTCAATGCTGTTTTGCTATCACGAGAATTCCTTAAAAAACGTGTTGGTGGTTACTGTTGTTACGAAAACAAAACACTTCAAATTAAAGTCTTGAATTAATCGTATCGCATTAGTTTATATTAGGAGAGTTATACCTTTACTTCAATTTTCCCTTATTAGAATTAGCTTAATCCTGTTTCCATAGCAGCAGACAGTTTAGATTCTTAGTTGGGAAGATTTCTTGAAATAACTGAATAGTGCTTTATTTACGAACTTAAGAGTACAATCATTTGGACTCCTTTTTTTATTTAAGGAAGCCGATAAACAGTCTTATTAATTGTTATTAATTATAAGAAGAGATGAATATGGTTGTTGGATATAGCATTAAAGTTTCAAGATTATTTCGAAATTAGTTTAGAGCTTAAACGTGAGAATTGGTTATTTTCTTAGTTATAGATTTTGCTATTAATTTTCAATTTGCAGATCAGCTATTAATTTTCAACAAAGAATATAAAAATGCATCGCAGAAAGTTTTAAGGGACTCTGTATTTTAAAATATTTATTCAAATATGTTATGAACCAAAAATACGACCAGTTATAAACATACGATTAGGATAATAAAACACAAAAAGAAAATTCTATTAAAATTGTTGAGAATAAAATTGTTTAAATTTTTTTATAAGTATATTTTAAATTTTTTTTTTCTTGAAAATATCAAAGTGTTTGATTAATCATAAACATGTCGTTGTTGTATAAACATTCGATTTGGATAATAAAGTACAAAAACAAAATGTTATTTAAATTGTTGTAAAAAGGAAATTTTAAATCTTTATGAATCTTTTTTATATTTTGAAATAATCAAATAACATAATCAATCATAAACATAATTTTTGGATAAAGAAACAGAATAATAAAATGTTATTGAAATTGTTGAGAAAAAGAGTTTTTTTTAAGAAATTTATAACTATTTTTTATTTATTTATTTATTTATTTATAGCAAGAATTGTAGATTTCATTTTCAAACATTTTCATGCGCAATGGAGCATACGTCATCAAAATTATCTATTAAAACGCATAAACGATTTTAACCTTTTTATTTAAAAATCAATAATCTAATACTAAAATATTTTTAATGATTGTAATTTTATACTTATCTGATTCTATTTATATTTTTTTGTAGTAACGAAAAAACTATTTTTTACAACTTCAAAAATTATTTAGCATAATTAAAAAAAATTTATAAGTGGTTAAATATTAAAATACATAAATAATTTTGACTTTTAAAAAAAAATAAAAACCTTAACTCGATTCTAAAGCAAATTACAATGAGGATGATAATCCTGTAAACACCTATATCTACTTTTTTATCTTACTGGATCTAATGTATTTAACATCTTAAAAATATATCATTCATGGTGAAACATAAGTCATAAAAATCTATAATGATTCCTAACGTAAATTAGTTATAAAAATATTAATTATGAACCATTAAGACTTATTATTATTATTTGTCATAAATCCGAATTGAATACTAAAATAAAATGTGTGCATCCCTATATTTATGTATTTGTTTATTTTCGACTTTTTAAAAACATGACAAAAACTAGATTTTATATTTTCGCAGTCATAAAACTTAATCACTGAAATGTTGGATATTGACTTATTTTATATTAAAAACAATAACGGAAAATTAAAATAGTTTTGCACTGAGTTGAAATTCTTTTAGTCCACTATTTTTGACTCGAATTTTTTATTTATTTCTAAAATGAAAAGTAGACTTTAAATTTTAAAAATATATCGGACAATTTTAAATTTAAGGTTTCTTAAAAATCAAAGAAAACACATGAAGAGTTTTGACTTTTTTTTTTAAATAAAAACTTCCTTTCAATTGTAACCATGTATTTACATTCATTTATGTAAGTTCTCATTTTAAATCATACGAAAAAACTTTTTCCACATCTTTGAAATTTGTCATGCATAATAAATTATAAAAATGTAATTATTAAATGCGCGTAAATGTTTACGACCATTTTTTTTAAGTGAGGACAACAAACCATGATTTTAATGGGGCCGAAATGTAAAACGAAAACTTAAAAATAGATTTATCATAGAATGAATGTTCTCCTATGTTTTGTAAAACTTTTTTTTTAAGAAAGCCATCATATTGATAACTACTGACGTGATCTCTTTATTTTTGAAACTATCCACATGGCCAACGATATCCTCAGATGAGGTGCATGAACTGAACCAGTTAGGGCTGCGAGTAACTCAGGTGTAGATCTCTAAAAATCTCAACTGATTCTTTGAAATGATTTGAATGGATCTAAAACCATCCTTTGTTTTAACTGATGAGGCTTTTTTCTAAAAACAATTCTGTCTCCGTCTGTTTCAATGAAAGCTGCTCGAGGAATCTTAACCTAGGTTTAGAGAAACGTTTGCTAAATTTGATTCGGTTAATTCAAGGCAAAGCAATACGGATCTACGCCGGGTGGTGTTCGAAGTGTGTTATTTTGAAATTTAAATTAAGCATGTAATTTTATCTTTATTTTTAAGAGTGATTAAAAAAAATCTGATTTGTGTATTTTTATTAAAAGACTGTGTGAAGACAAGTAATATCCTTCCTTCATCTAAAATTTCAAAAGGATTATCATAGTTTCTAATCAGGTAAATAATTTCTGCCATTTTTTAAAAAGTTATTCGAACGATTATTTTCGTTTGAAATCAGGTAAATAGTTTTTGCCATGTTTTGAAAAATCATTCTAAGGATTGTTTTAACTCCTAAACAGGTGAATAATTTGTGCAATTTTTGTAAAGAAATTTTTGAATTTTATATACTAATGTGGTATTTTGTTAATTGGATTTGGTTTGATTGATTAATATAAATTTTCGGAGCAAGAGATATGTTTTGGATATACCGCGCCTAAAACCAGGTAAAAAGCAGAATAACTCAATTAAAATTCAAGAAACTTTATTAAAATCTAATCAACCAAGTTTAAACTAGTTTAAAATCAGAATAGCAAGGTCAAAATTAGAACTAAATCGAATTATAATCTGTTACTATGGTATTTTATAATTAGCCTGTAAAGTTTGGACATGGAATCAAATTGAATAAATAAATATGAAAATAAGTCATTTTGACAGAAAATCTACTGCAGATGACCAGTTTTCGAATTCATCTATTAAACTGTGTACTTTAAAAATGATGTACAAAATATGATTTGCTTATTTCTTATAGAAGACAAATTATAAGCAGTTTTATGCCCGTATCTTATTTTTGAAAAAGATAAATTTAATTTATCATCAAGTAATTTTTTTTAAATTTTCTAAAAAGTTTCTGAATTTTATTTATTACTTGGTCATTTTGTATACATATTCGAATTCTACATTGACTGATCTTGAAACCTGAATTTACCTTTTAAAGGCAAATTCAGTGAAGTCAAACCTTGATCTTTGTTTTGTTTTATGTATCCAAAAATNTCTTTTTCCTGCTCCGCTCGCTTCCGTGCTCTGTAATCACGGTAATATTGTGCATTTTTCCCTCGTGGACCTCTTGAACCAGTGGAAGTGCTTGTGGTTGCCTCATCGTCTCGCCATGGAAAATGTATTTGTATTAATAATGTATGTGAATGCGTCATAATGTAATTTCAAAAGAGAAAACCTAACAATCAATTGATATTCACAAGAGACGTACCTTAAATCCGTCGCAGGGAAAAATATACTTGAGGGTGCCCCTTGGCGAAATTGGCGACTTATGTTTGGCGCCATACTTGTTTGCCCGGATCGCCATGGTAACCCACAAACAGGACATTTATATCTATTACTAATTAAACCTTCATTCATGCACCAGTCAATCACTGTTTTTTTCCCATTGTTATTCAAATCGTACAGAAACTTGAGATTTATCTTATTGACAGTATTCATTTATAGAACCAGAAGCAAAAGTAACCTTACCAGCCGGTATCCAAAGTAGAACTAACGGATCTCTGAAATTACATTTAAAAATTCATTTAAAAACAACACTAAATTCTAAACTAATCAGAATCACGATTAAAATCGAAACCAATCAGAATCACGATTGGTTTTCAACATCGCCCAGCTTGGCGATCACAACTTGGTGGGAGCACCCTCAAATATAGTCTACCCAAGAAATTGATAGAACTTAAAAGAACATAATTTGATAGTGAACATTTTCCTGACGTTTTTGGCCTATAGTGTGCTAGGTTTTAATTTTTGGAATTATGAATAATTATCAAAAAGGGCGATAGTTTACTAAACATTAGAAGTAATGTAAACTTTTTTCGCTGTTTTTACAAAATAGAAATAATTTTCCTCACGGTTCATATTTTTTATCTTTTCACAATGCTACTTAATAGATTGAAATAAAATTTGATAGAGTATAGGTATCTATTTATCTAAATCTATGTATATATAGAGAGAGGAGTAAGGATATTTTTTGTCTCGAGATATTTTTTTAAAATTTTGTTTTCATCTGCATTAAGCTATAAATAGTGCTATACATTTTTTATTGTATGATTCAAAATATCAAAAGCTGCAAAACCGTTTGATCTTTCAAATTTTCGACGAGACATATCATACTTACCCAAAATATATTTTGAAACAGCATTTTTTAGTTCGAATAATTTATAACATTTTAAACAATATTAAGTAATTCTGTTGATTCTAAAACTAAATTCAATTAAAAGAAGTCAACAAAACGATGTTTTGTTATTTTAAATAGTTTCAATTACGATGCAATTCTATAAAGACTAAAAACATTAAATCCCCTTAAAAACATTCAATCACCTTAATATCCACCATCATTGCTTTTCGTTAAAAGGGAACTTTAGAAGAATCATGTAAATCGTAAACTAAGGATATTTTTTCCTCTTACAGCCATCTGTGTACGTAGTTGTAATGGATTACTCACCACGATCTGGGGACAGCGAAGGTATTGAAGTAACAGAAGGGCAAGAAGTTGAAGTTATCGACTCAAGTCGTGCACATAAGTAAGTTTATTGTTCAAAGAATATGTTTATACCCTATCAACAATTTTACATTGGCTCCAGTTGAGCTCAAACAGTGGCTCAATATGGGCCCTATAAGAACAAGCACCAAGGGACCAATATTGGGGTGTTTAGATTTCTTAATATTGGTCCTAGAATGGTTTTCGGTAATAGACAAAGATTCGTTTCTTATCTAGGAGCAATATTACAAAATGTAAGCTTTCCAATATTTACCAAACATAATAAGCTTATAAAAAACCTAGACAGAAATGAATTGTAGTTCATTATTGAGAGCCATTTTAGGAACAATATTGAAAACTCTGTACATCCCAATGTTTACCCAATATTATAAGTCTATAAGGTTCCTACATTGTAAATTTTATTGGTCCATTATTGAAACCCAGTTAGCATAAACATTAAAAATCTAGACTTCCCATTATTATAAGTTGATTCTTTGCATTTAAGTGGTGCAAAGTACATTACACTTACACTTTGCCTTCTCACTTTCCACTCTTACCCATAATATAACAATTGTTCTTAACGTTTTATTAAAAAGATTAATTACACCTAAATGGTTAATTACTGCTTTATTTATTTTAGCTCCCAGGTATTTTATGGCCAGTTCATAAAGTCCTAAAAAATTTAAAAAAAGGTAGCAAAAATTTTAAAAAAAAATACTTTCTAATAAGCTTGTTTTCACCAGTGTTCTTAATATTCAAAAATAAACACAATGCGTCTCAAAATCTAGGGTAAAGAATTTATAATTTTAAAGGGAAAGCTGATTAAAAGTAATTTGTAATATCTTTATTAGAATATCAGCATCATTTACTGTATTTTCTCAATGTCGTACGAATCCTGAATTATAGAATAAAATCTTGCGAACTTTAACTGTTGAAAAGATGAAACAAATGCAAAGAGTTAATAAGTTAACAGTCCGTAAGTTAATAGCATAAAATTGAAAATAACTCATCTTTACTGGAGTTATTCCCCTATATTTTATTCTCAACCCTTTGATTTCTAATGCGACCTCTGACGCGCCATCAACAGTCAGCAACTAAAATTAAATTTTTTTTATAGCTTTTGATTAGCAACCACATTTTTTAAAGAATTATAAAAGTTATATAAAAATATTGTATTTTCTATGATTGATGATTTAATACTTACATTAGTTCAAACAACAATTTAAAGTGCTCGGAGTGCAAAGATTTTTAGCTCATTTTGATGCTGGGAAAGCATTAAACATTAAAATTTTTGTTAATTTTAAAAGAACTGCACAGAAAAATCTAGGCTTCTTATATTGGCGGTTTTCTTTGTATTTAAATGCTTCAATAAAAACTTTTAATCTAATCAATGCAAGTGTTTAGTCGTTCTCAAAAAACTAAAAGCAGCTTTAATAAAACATAAAAATAATAATTATGGAAGCAACTTTATTTGAAATAATAATGGTTAAAATATATTTAAAATATTATTTTGTTTTGTAAAGATTTTGCGAATTCAAAGTGCAGTTTTATGTAAACAAGAACTTAAATACTAAAATTACCAAACTATGATTTTNGAGTTCTTATGTGTTGACTAAATTTTATTGAAACATCATCTTATAGTCTCAATTGAAATGGCATTTATTACCACTAGAAAAAAAACTTTTTTAAAAGAATAGAAGTTTGCAGGGTACAGAATTGTAAATCATAAAATTTTTTCAACCTTAAATATAAAACTCAAACGGGAAAAGTTGACATATGGGAGTGTTTTGTTTTGTAACTATACATTTGAACAACTCTAAGAATTTGAAAATTAAATTTCTACGATTAAAAAAATTTATTTTAACTTTAAATTAAGCATGACTTGTATTAAAATTTGACTCATCAAAATCGGAAATAACTACTCGTAAAACCGATTATTATTCTTTCCTCTTAAACTATGTGTTTATAACCAATTTCTTTTTCTTTCCTTTCTTTAAAAAAAAGGTGGAGAGTACGTCGAAGGAAGGACGGTCAGGAAGGCACAGTCCCTTCATGTTATTTGGAAAAAAAGAGCATAGTCACTCCGCCAGAATCTCCTCAATTAGATCCCAAAGCCCAAGCAGCAAGAGCAAGAAGGGAGTAAGTACTTTTTAAACTTTTTCTCAAGATTAAACCTCTAAACCTAAAACTACAAAAATTTTAATAGTTTTCAACTCCTAAACTACGTAGTTTTTCACTGAGGTAGTGCCGGTATTTTGTATCGAGTGTTCTTGCAGTTCTGCCGAGCACTTTGTTGAGTGGTTCGATACCCGGCATAACCCTGGAAGTAACTTTGTTATGTTCTTTTCTCACCCAGCGTCAGCAGGGCTGAAAGTTTATTTATATAAAGGCGAAAAAAAACCAAAACTGGTAAGAAAGTCAATTCATCATAGCTTTTTTGGCGAGAAGATTAAAATTTCCTTTCCAAAAAAAAGTATATACTGTGTAATTAAAAATAGTTAGAGCTTAATTTATTCTTCATGAAAACTAGCTATAAATGAAACAGTCTTACTTTGAACCATGAATGTCCGGCCAGTGCCTTTGCCTCTAGATCATCGCGGCAATTATATGATTTCAATATTACATAAATTTTAAGATTGACACCTTGCATGTTTTGCTACTCTATGAGGCCCTTTTCCACCTGACAGAAATGAATTGTCGGGGGGCTGGAGATGGGGGGGGGAGAATTCTGAATATATGTTTAATCCTTTCTTTTTCATTTTCTCAAATAAACTGTCAGTGGATACTTACTCTATCCGGCTGTCTCTTTGAAAACATTTAAAATCGAAAGCCATCACCACATTACACTTTTTTAAATGAGGTATTTTAGATTCTTTATTACTTTTTTTTTCGTATTAAATTATACCAATACGATTCGTCACAATGCTACGATAATACATTGATAACAATTTTATTTAACAACCGAAAAAAAGTTGGAAAAATGTAAGAAGTGAATCCATTGAAGTGTATCTTCAAAATTTCACATTATGGTTGTTTTTCTTGTTAAAACTTTAGCCAGTTGTGCCCAGAATCCTCTTGTTGAGATGATTCCTTTTTATAAAAGAGGAAAAATTGTGCTGACGTGTTTCATTAATTATATTAATTTTGCCCGATTCTAGCAATTCCGTCTACCGCAATATCTCAGTTATGCAACTACAATTAACCCTCAGGAAAGACCATCTCTATATACCCTCTACTTACGACCACTTTTGGGAGGGCGCGTTATTTTTCCCATACACGATGACACGATGAAGAAAACCTTTAGGAGGGACTATTAAAACCTCTTCCAGTGACCGGGCGAACCCTCTGCTCCAACGAAAATATTTTACACGAAAAAGTATGAAAATAAGAAATATTTTCAAACAGATAAGTAGATTAAAATGTGTTCAAAATATTCATGTGAGGCCTTTATTTAGACAGCTCTTTTTGACGATCTCTGAAAGAGATCTATAACCTCATGTTGCAGTCAAAGTGAATTAAAGATGAGGCTATCAATGATTTATTTTTAGAGTTGAAAGTTAAATTAGGAAGAAAAACTAAGCATCTCAAACAAACCTCTTCTCATATTTTAAAGCTAATTAATTTTTATGATTTAAAAAGAAAAAAAACACAATTATTTATTTATTTAAAATATTTCTATCATTTATAATTGGTAAATTTGTTCTTATTTATAATTATATAAGTATGGATTATTTCTATTGACACTAAGTTCTATTCATCGATCCGGATTTCATAACGCCAACACAAGGGGCATTTTTGCGCCAAGAAAATGACACCGATTAAAATTAAAATCATTTGCGAAAAATAGTGCACCTTCGATAACATTTTGAAGTCAATGGATGTAACCTTTAAGAACGACCAACCTTCATCAACGACCATTTTACTGTGGGACATAGAATGGTCGCTCTAGGGAGGTTTCAGTTTCGCAGTGTTCAGATCGCAAAGACACGGTTCCCTGTAGAACACCAAAGTCAAGCATCACTGGCTGAGATCAGTATGCGGGTGGGTNGGTCAAGAAGGCACAGTCCCTTCATGTTATTTGGAAAAAAAGAGCATAGTCACTCCGCCAGAATCTCCTCAATTAGATCCCAAAGCCCAAGCAGCAAGAGCAAGAAGGGAGTAAGTACTTTTTGAACTTTTTCTCGAGATTAACCATCTCAACATTCGTAGGGTAAAAGCTGACCCGTTTGTTTTTGACAATAATAAAACAAACTGACTTTTCAACAACAAAAATTTTAATAGTTTTTAACTCCTAAACTGCGTAGTTTTTCACAGAGGCAGTGCCAGTATTTCTGATCGAGTGTTCTTGCTGATCTGCCGAACAATTTTGTGAATGGTTGTAGCCGGTTCGAAACCCGTCATAACCCTAGATGTAACTTTGTTATGTTCTTCTCTGACCCTGCGTCAGCAGAGCTGAAAGGTTATTTATATAAAGGCGAAAAAAAGCCAAAACTGGTAAGAAAGTCAATTTAGCATAGCTTTTTTGACGAGAAGATTAAAAATTTCTATTCTGAAAAAAGGTATATACTGTGTAACTAAGAATAGTGAGAGCTTAATTTATTCTTCATGAAAACTAGCTATAAATGAAACGGTCTTACTTTGAACCATGAATGTCCGGCCAGTGCCTTTGTCTCTTAGTCATCGCGGTAATTATATGTAATACCGTTCAGTGTTTGTACTGTTTCAGTATTTCCCATATTTTAAGATGTGCACCTTGCATGCTTTGCTACTCTAAAGAGGCCCTTTTCCACCTGACCGAAATGATTTGTCGGAGGGCTGGAGATGGGGAGGGAAAATTCTGAATGTGTTTAATCCTTTCTTTTTCATTTTCTCAAATAAACGGACAGTGGATATCTACCCGGCAGCATCTTTGAAGACATTTAAAATAGAAAGCCATCACCGCATCACACTTTATGAAATAAGTTGTTTGGTATTTTAGATTCTTTACTACTTTTTTTTCGTATAAAATTGTACCAATACGATTCTTCACTATGCTAACAATTTTATTTAACGACCGAAAAAAAGGTTGGTAAAATATGAGAAGTGAATTTACTGAAGTTTTAATTTGTAACTTCAAAATTTCACATTATGGTTGTTTCTTGTTAAATCTTTAGCTATTTGTGCCCAGAATCCTCTTGTTGGGATGATTCCTTTTTATAAAAAAGGAAAAACTGTGCTGACGTGTTTCATTAGTCATATTTATTTTGCCCAATTCTAGCAATTCCGTCTACCGCAATATGTCAGTTATGCAAATACAAGTAACCTTCAGGAAAGGCCATCCCTATATAGCGACTTCCTCTATTTACGACAACTTTTGGGAGGGCGCGTTATTTTTCCCATAGAATTCACGATGAAGAAAATCTTTAGGAGGGACTATCAAAACCTCTTCTAGTGACCAGGCAAACCCTCTGCTTCAAATGCGGAAAAGGTCAAATAATGAAACACGAAAAAGTATCTAAAAAAGAAATATTTTCAAACAGATAAGTAGATTAAAATATGTTCAAAATATTTATGTGAGGTCTTTATTTAGACAGCTCTTTCTGACGATCTCTGAAGGAGATCTATAACCTTATGCTGCAGTCAAAGTGAATTAAAGATGAGGCTATCAATGATTTATTTTTAGAGTTGAAAGTTAAATTAGAAAAAAAGTTAAATTAGGAAGAAAAAAAAACTAAGCATCTCAAACAAACTTCTTCTTATATTTTAAAGCTAACTAATTTTTATGATTTTAAGAAAAAAACACACAATTGCTTATTTATTTAAAATATTTCTATCATTTATAATTGGTAAATTTGTTCTTATTCATAATTATATCAGTAGGGATCATTTCTAATGACACTAAGTTTTATTCATAGATCCAGATTTCATAACGCCAAACACAAGGGGCAATTTCGCACGAAGAAAATGACACCGATTAAAATTAAAATCATTTTCGAAAAATCGTGCACCTTCGATAACACTTAGAAGCCAATGGATGAAACCTCTAAGAACGACCAACCTTCATTAACGACCATTTTACTGTGGGACATAGAATGGTCGCTCCAGGGAGGTTTCAGTCTCGCAGTGTTCAGATCGCAAAAGACACGGTTCCCTGTAGAACACCAAAATCAAGCATCACTGGCTGAGATCAGTATGCGGGTGGGCCTTTGATCAGCCTACTTTGATCAGCCAGCGTAGGGACCGAGGGTGTGTGGTATCCGTCTTCGTTAAAGTGTTCTATCGTTAAGTGCTCAACTTCGCGTGCAAGTCGTCCAGTTTCCAAAGCAGGGGAGTCAATTCCTCTACAGAAGATCAGAATTGTGATGGCATGTCTTCGGATCATTCTCTGGGATGTTTCCACGACCATCGCCAATAGCCCATTGGGCAGCTCTAGTGCAACGTAAATGAAGTACATACTTACCTACCCGAGATCTTTCACTGTATTTATATCTAGATCCATATGGTTATGGCATAGCTCTTTTCAAAAGCTAAAGTAAGTAGCAGAACGAAACATATGCTTGGTGTATACAGATATGAACTACCAAAGTTTTCATATTGATGCTTTTCATATATAAACCACTTTTTGGAATCTAACAATAATGCATAAAATATTGTTTGTCCTAAAAGTATATTTGTGAATTTTAAAAAGACTTCAAAAACAAATAAATACGTTGTCTCAAAGCATTTTCCATATTGCGTATTTTTTATTACGTAATAAATTATTTCAAGGAGTTAAGATAATGGTAATGTAGAGATTTAACCTAATTTTCATAAACGAGAATTCCGAATTTGGTATCGAGGATAATTTTGCAATTTTTCAGAAGCCGGAACTATAAAATATAAGTTCAGTGTTAATAAGCAGTATATATAATCTTCTGAAATTTGTTTAATCTATAGAAATAGGGAATTATTGAGTTTATATGAATTTTGAATGAATACATAAAGAATGGAGACTTTTATTTATGACAATATTTATAGAACCAATAATACTTAGAAAATGCTAAATACTAGTAAGGAATTTCGAGCCAAGTAATTAAACACATTTCATATATTACTACATTTTAGAATTGTTATTATGATTTACATTTAATTCTAATAAAATATTTACAACTATAAAGATTCTTGATCAAATTAAATTCCAATGACTTACAGCCAAGTATTGAAGCAATTAGTGGAATCAGAAGAAGCCTTTTCAAGAGACATGCAGTATGTTGTTAATAACTACATCAAAGAAATGGAATCGAAGACCATGCCAAAAGAACTTAGAGACCAAAAAGATGTGCTTTTCACAAATTTTAAAGCTATCTCTGAATTCCACAATAAGTAAGCAAGTTCTAATTGTATTATGACATTTAAAAGGAAAGTTTTTTTTTTGGTTAACTAATGCTGTAATATAACACTTAATAGGGAAGAGAAATTGTATATCCTACTGGTTAGATTATATATTTTCTGTGGCTTTGCCTTCACAGATATACTTTGATTTCATGTTTAACACGTTGAATGCCACGAGGGTCACCGGTAACCGGCAATGAGTTTGTTCATAGAGCCACGGGGTTCACCGGTGACCGGCGAAGCCAAGATTATTAGAAACACATAATTCGAGTAAATTTTAATTTTTTTATATTATTATCGTTGCTGAAATGGTTTGAAGAAATTAATGCAATATGGAACACACTAAAATAGTTTTATTTATATAGACAGAGATGCTAACTTGATCCGGACAGCGAATAAATATTTTCAAGTGGTAGTTCATTAATTGCGATTCTTGTATTAATAAATTCAATTTAGTGGATTTTTATCCACCACTATTTCTTAGCAATTCGTAGTCTTATACAATTCACCACTTTTACCAGATATGTCATGCGAAACCTTTTAAAAAACTAGTAAAATCTGTCTAATATTTGCAAATTAAGTTTGTAGTCATTTACCATTTAGCCAGACGGGCAAGCCATGCAAAATTAGCGCGGCGTTCAACGTGTTAACTAATTTTAAGAGATCTCTGCGATATTGTCAAAGATACTTATCTATTGAATTTTAGTAGCATTTTAAAATTTGTTCCTCAGCCAAATCATGTAAACCACCGTAATTTGGGACATTGCAGGATTGTAGGCAGCAGAAATATTAAAATTGCTTTCACCTCTTTAGTGAGATGTAATAGAAAACTCATCCTACTTCTCATTCATTACCTCCTACATCAGAAAGCTTTCGCACGATTTTTATAAGTAGTCTGCACAGACTATCTAAAAAGTGAACCAGTTGTGCGCATGAATCCAAATTTGTAAAAAAAAGTCATTGAGAGAAATTTATCATATATATTTGAGAATTGTATCTGTACTGGTTGATAAGTAAATAAAACAAACCAATTGTATTAAAAAATTAATCAAATTTTTAGACATATATTTTTTTCCACTATCTTATTTTTACTAGATTTTTTATTAAATGCTTCTTTCGTAAACTTGTTTACCTTCATAGTGGTCTGTTCGGACTACCTTCCTTCAAAAAACCGTGTGGAGGCTCATTACGTTCTGTACTACTTCCATACACACTTCTTGGGCTATAACTTAAGTATCGTATAACATATATGTATATATTATTGCACGAAGAGACAACAATTGGTATGAGAGTATGCGGCCCCATAGCATAGTTTATGCTTGAAATTCTACAGTCAGGATCCAAAAGATAAATCTAAATAATTACTTCGTTATTAAGTTTCCATTTTGATAAAAATGCAAAATGAATTTAAATAAATAATTAACGTATAGCTAATCTACCTAAATTAATATTTTAGACAGCCCAATAAAATGAATAACAACTACAGTTTATATATATATATATAATAATAATAATAATAATAATATTAAATGTATCAATGGTAATGGAATGAAATCTTTTAGTAAATTATGTGTTGTGAGGAGTGTTACAAATTGAACTATAAAAATAATCATAACTATTATTTTTGTTTTCAGCGTCCTTATGAAAGGCATTCAGTATTACGCTGATGATCCTGCCCGGCTAGGAAAGACTTTCTTAAGACTGGTAAGTAAAATATAATAATCTTTTAAATTTTTATTCTAGTTCGTTCTTATTATTAAAGTAAGACACCTATTTTACATGTTAAATTGTAAAAATATGAGTATGATATTGGTTGTGGACAATAACTTTATATTTGAGTTTTGTACATTTTGATTTATTCTGGTTTAATTAAAGACTAAATAGTGAAATCGAAATTCATGTTTTCAAATCAAGATATTCAAAAGTTTATGGTATTTTTTTTTTATAGTAAGTAAAGTTTATATTAATAGAGAATAGGAATTTACCATGGTTTGTACGATTTCTGCTTTCGGCTCGTTCCAACCATAGTGCTGACGTAAAATATCCCCAGTGGTTGACGGATCATCGGTTAGAGTACCTTTGCCATAAGGCTAACAATAGGGGATTTTCATGGTTTTTCTCTTCATTGAATGCAAATGCGAGTTAGTTCCGTCAAAAAGTCTTCCATTAGTAGTCTCACACTCAAAATTGGGTTGGCTGTTCAACCACAATTATAAACTATAAAACTTAATATGTAATTAAAATAATTGCACTGGGGAACACATTTTTTGTAGCATTCATACAAGTACTTGATCTTGAGCAGTGATGGCTCAGGGTATAGAGTGTTCGCCTTCCAATGAGGCGAACCGGGTTCGAATCCCAGTCGATACGAATTCTACATCCGGCTTGCACCGACCACAGTGTTAACGTGAAATATTCTCAGTGGTAGATGGATTATGGGCCGGTTGGAGTCCCCTATAATTCTAATGTGATACCCCATATATCATACTAAGACTAATGTGATACTAAGGTGATACTAAGGCTAATGTGATACCCCACTTCGTTACAGTTTAGCCAAGTTTAGTTTTCTAAAAAGTTGGCAAAATTCACCGAAAATCTGCAAATTTTATTCTGTAGTTCTCTACAGTTTTGTGAAATATTTTGTCGAATCCAGAGCAGTTGGCATCTCTGCGTAGTTATTGAATATATCTAGTTATTGATGGTGTAGTTATCGAAATTTTTTCTAGTTTTCCCTGAAGAATATTTTATTACATATTCTGCAACTTAGTTAAATGGATATTATGTAATTTTAAAGTACCTAAAATGAATTATGATTTCAGGAGCGAGATTTCGACATGCACGTCTCTTATTGCAGAGATGAACCAGAAGCGCAACAGCTGTTACAATCCGGTGAACTGAAAGAGTATTTTGATGTAAGTGTTTACTCGATTTTTCCAATTTGCAACTTATAAGTGTATAAATAATTCTCTTTAAATAATTTCCAGAAAATGTTAAATAACTTTTATTTTTTACTATTATTACAATTTTCACACATTGTTGCCTGTTGATAAGGGAATGTTACTACTTGTTCGGATAAGAAGAGCTGGAAGGAAAAAAATTGTATTTTTACCCTTTTTTTTGAGGGTAGAGTGTAAACTAACCGTGACTGCAAGGCTGTTTGTGAAAAAGCTGATAATAAATATGGCTTGAAAAGGGAAAAAACTGATAATAAAACATTTCATTACTAGATTGAAGGATCCTATTTGCAAAGACTTTTTAAAAAGCTATAATGTATATGTAAGACTATTTCCTTGATGAAAGATAATTACTGGCCTACTTATATGACAGAACCTTTCAAGTTATTAATTTTAAAAATATAAAGTCAACAAACAGGAAAAAAATAACAGCTGGTGTGTCCCAAGGAAGTAGCGTTGCTCCAATACAATTTATTGTATTTACTTATGACCTTCCTGTGAACATACAGTACTTCGGCAGCATCACTGCATTTTGTCCAGATGATACTGGAATCGTTGTTAAAGTCATTAATTCATACATAGACCTACAGAACCTTTCATAAAAGCTGAATGAAATAGGAACCAGGTGCCTAGACTTGAAGTTTAAAGCTAATGGACAAAAATCACAATTTCAAATTAAACATTAAAAAAAAAACATCCTCCCGAGAAACAAAGTTGTTCTCTTTAACGAAATTTTCCCCAGTGTTAAACGTGCAAAGATTTTGGCCTGGTTATAAACAGAAAATTCAATTGGAAGGATCTTGTCAAATCAATCATCAACAAAGCACAAGCAGCCTGTCAGGAACTACAAATTCTCTTTCAAAACTCTAAAATGGAACTCAGACTTAAACAATTACTCTACGTATCAAAGTTTCGTACTATTTTAACGTACGCATTACCATACAAGCCGGGTGATGCATCTATCCATTTCTTCGACAGAAACGCAAAAGATGTCATAATAAAATCCTCCGAAAAATAAAACAAGTAAGATGGTTTATCCGAAATAAGAATAATCAAATCGCGATCATAATATTGATTATTTATATCAGCCGTTTCCAAATAGAGTTCCGCCTAAAGCTATAGTTCCGTGGAAGAGTTAAAAGAGTTCCGCGAGTTAGTACTTATTATAACCAGTGATGAGTTTGAAATCTGAGATTATATTTAGATCCAACATATAAATCGTATTTTATTTAATCTTTCTGTTATTATTATGACATTATTTCTAGTAAAATGCCAAAGAAATAGAAATGGTATTGCTTAAAAGAAAATATAATATTTCGAATAACAATATATTGAACAAATTATGAAAAGAACAACATTTATAAAATATTGTATTAGTTTTTCTATTTACGCTTTTCAAATCAAACATTTAATATCTTCAATAAAGAAATATGTTTCCCTTAGTTTCATATGTTTCTCATTCTTAGAAATACGTTTCCCATTCTTAGAAAGATGTTTCCCATTATCAACGTTTATAGCAGCTTTTTTAAGTTTTCACTTGGTCCGAAGTAAACCATAATTTGTCTTACTTTACTCATTTTCGGCTTATGTATATACACCAAAAACAAATTAACATACCTGCCAACTTTCAATCTTTCCGAGAATGGATTTTCCAAGTGGTAGTAAATCAATTAACGAAAAGCAATCTTACTCAAAAATATACTTATACATTTAAAAACGGTGAAATTCGATTTCGTACGAATTATTATGCTTTTATATATTTGTTGTAATTATTTAAATGTAGTGGTGGTGAAATTCATTTAAAGTTATCATTATAATTCAAAAAGTTAATTGGAACAACATGAGTACTACTACCACTTTAAATATGAAAATAAAATCTTCCGGGAAAACCGGAAGAGTTGGCAGTCATGAATTAATAATAAATCAGATTTAGCACAAAGACTGCCAATTAGACTGTCGTACATAAAACATATTTTTAGATTATTTCTAATAAAACAATTATAAATCTTCATATCTCTAATTAAGTATTTAAAAATAGTCCTTATACATTGTTCCCGCGGTCCTTGAAAAATTTTAGTAGTTGCAGTACATTTAGGTTAATGCTAGAATATATTTCTTACTTTATTGTATCACTTTATCGTTAAGTGGTTTAGAAAGCTGGAATTTTCATGCATATTTTCTTTCGAAAACAATTTTTAGTAGTGATTACTCAGATATTTGAAAATTCGACATTTGTTTTATTTTCGTTACCACTTTTTTTTTAAATTTTCAAGACCCACGGGAACTCCGTTTCAGAATTTTTGGTGATTTTGCCGACATGTTTAAAACCTCTCCACGAGAGAGCTGAAACAAAGTGGTGTTGCATATAAACTTTTAAACCAATTATGTGTAGTAGTGTGGAAAATAAGTTTAAATGAATAAAAAATAATATATTATAACATAAATTCAGCTTCCACTAGAATAAATATTTTCAAAAAACTTAGAAAGTTGGTNAGGGTTAATATACTACTTTATTGTTAACTGGTATAGCAAGCTGGAATTTTTATGCATATATACATTCTTTGGAAAACAATTTTTAGTGGTGGTGACACAAAAATAGACATTAGTTTTATTTTCGTTACCACTTTTTATTATATTACATATTAATTTCATTGATTAAAGCAAAAAATTAGAAAACTGAAATTTTGGTCTTAGAAAAATGCGATTGTTTTTTAATTAATGGGAATTAATCCTATGTGAGATAGAACCCTAAATATCAGCCTCGCTAGGATCTCTAACTTATTAGTCTGTGTGAGAATAATATAAAAATAGCCGAAGCTCAATTGAATGGGGGAACAGTAGGGATCAGTTACGTTATATGTTAATTGATATATAATAAAATAAAAGAATATGAAAATAGTGACAAATGAAAAATAAGTGAGAAAGGAATTTAGATCTATATGTCTCTCTTTCATTAGGGAAAAAACTACTACAAAAAATTTTGGTGACTACCAATTTTTAAAAAAAGTTAATTTTGTTATTTAATGATATTCGATACGAAATGGATGTATTTTTATGGAATATTTTGTCAAAAATATACGAATTAGCAATCTAAAGTCTCCGAAACAAATACATAAGAGTTGTAAACTCTCATTAAACTGTGTAAAATAAAGAAATTAATTTACTTTTAGGAATTCAGTAAGAAGTTAGAAGACGAAAAGACACTATCCGAACATTTAAAATCACCGATTCAAAGAATTAACGATTATCAACTGCTTCTTAAGGTAAGTTATTTTTTTGTTTATTTATGATAAGGCAGATCTAATGTATTAAAATAATATATACCGTCTCACTACAGGCTGAACTGTTGAGCTTCCCTACGTAACATCCTTTAGTCTAGAAAATGTTCCTAAATTTAAAAATCTATGTAATATTCTTGTAATTTAAATTAAATATTGAAACAAAAAAATCTAATTTTAAAAAAATTTGGCTTTCAATTTTTTTAATTTGTTGATAAATAGTAGTATTTAGAAAATGAATAAATATAATACTAAAATAAATGTTTTAATTTAAAAGGTCTGTGGTCATTAAACATAATAGACATTTGGACAGAATGACAAAAAAATTATATTTTTGCGCATCCATAATCTACAAATTATTGTAGTAAGTTATGGCGTACTTTGTAAATGATAAACTTTTCAGAAAAACTGGATTTTTCCAAAGTTAGATTTAAAAATTATTAGAGCACCAATGTTTTTTAGCTGAACAAATATATTAAAATGCATGTAGCGCAACAAATCTATTTTTTTAATAAAAAGAATTTAACTGATTCACAGTTTTTCATAAAATTAATATGAATTAAGGAAAAGAAAAAGTTTGAGCAAAAATAACTCCCCTCAATGATTTTATGCTTACAGAATTTAAAACTGATTGAATTTCTTGTTATTAACACATGCTGAAATTCATTAGTAGTTAATAATATTTGAAAAATGTTCTTATAGAAAAGAGGTAAAAGTTATAAGTTAGAGACACTATGAGTATTTGAAAGAGACCAGAAACTAATGCATTTTGTCATTTTTTTTGTATAATCGCAATCTATAGATTGTTAGTTTTAAAGGGAAAAAAAAAATCTGATTCCTTATAATTGCTGAGTTATGGTGTTTTTAAATACGTAAATATCTGCATATGGACTTTTCATTAGAACTAGACTTTCATTAGAACTATTTTTATGGACTTTTCATTAGACCTAGATTTCTCAAAACTTGAATTTAAAGACTATGATAGCCTTAATGTTTTGTGTTGAAGAAATAAACTACGGCCCATTAATAGTTCACAAAAAATTATATGTCTGCATACCCGATACCCATGTATCTACTCCATCCCCTGTGGAGTCAGTAGTTCATTTAAATTCCTTATTAGTTAATTGAAAAAAGGCAAAGCGAACGCGTATAGTAAAATGAGTAATAAGCATATTTATTCACACTATAATAATACCCATTCTTAAAAACGATTAATAAAAGTTGTCTTAGTGAAAAATAAAAAACAAATTAAGAATTTATTTTCCACGATAAAAATCTTGTTTTTTTATTTGCTAAATAACAATTAATAGTTTTGTCAAGCAATTTAATCTGACTGTGTGACACAGTTTTGCCAATTGGTAAAATTTACAAATGAATTTCGAGTGATAAATAACAGAAATATTCCGTCTGTCTACACTTGCCCCTTGTCCACACTAGCCCCTCTCCTCTATGTACAAACAAAAATGCTCAATTTTCTTCATAAATTTGTAAATAAACTTATGATACATTTTGGTTTATTTTGTGTAAATAAACTAATGAAACAGTTGAACAAACAAAAATTGTATGGTGAACGCATGCTTTTACTATTCTTGAAGTCATATTTTCGAAAAGGTGTTGAATTTTTTGTCATGAAAATCGTGTAGTATTAAAATTTTATTGATTTAGAACTTTTAATAAATTTGAAAATAATATTATATTTATTCTTCTAATTTATGTCTTAAAATATATTACGCATCAACATTATAAAAGAGAAATATCTGACATTATTATTTGCAGCTATTACATAGATTACACATTTTAAAATTTCTAAAATAATATATCAACTCGTACTGTTTGAATATTTGTTTATTTTTATTTTTTCCGTTTTAAAATACTTATTTGTAAATGGTTTTATTTTGTAGGAACTCATCAAGTACACTGCAAGACTGAAAGAAAGTACTGCAGACCTTGAAAAGGCTCACGATTTCATGCAAGCCATTCCACAACGAATTGCAGATTTGCAATATATCAATTCCATTCAAGGATATAAAGGAAATCTGCACAAACTTGGTAGGATTCTTAAACATGTGAGTGTTATTTTGGGAAACTTAACATTTCTGTTAAATAAAAAAAAGACAGCAGTTTTGTTACAATTGTCAAGTTTCAACATTTGGATAAAACAAATCGGATTAGTCATCATGTTATCGACATTTTTGTAATTATTGATTACTATAGGAAAGATGAATTTGCACTGGTAGTTCAACTTCTACATTTTTTTCCGCTGAAATAGTTCAATATTGCTACTTGTCTGTTCTCTTGAAACTCTAGAATATTGAGCTAATACTCTACTGTTCTTCTGTACCTTAATCTAACTTAAATAATTAGTCACTTTTTCAGCTTAAATTATTTTCAAAACATTTGAAAATATATCTATCTTCTGTTTATTACACATTTTTATTTCTTATACCATATTGCCCCTCCTGTCTTATTTCAAACTTAACCATTTTAAACTTATTCGGTTTTGACAGTGGTTTTTTTCTTCCTTGGCATTAACTTTTTGTTGCACTTGAATCGATTGTGTATTTTTCTTTTATTCAGTATCTCTATGGAGACGACAACACTTATTTGAATAAATTTCTTTGTGCATTTTTCGTTGCTTCTACTGTATTTTAGTGTTACACCAGTTTGAAAATTTGTAGAGAAACTTAAAATGAACATGTACCTTAGGATTTTAATGGAATATTTCAACTTTCGTATTTTCTATAGTGTTATGTTGGATGTACTTATAAATATCTAAATATTCAAAGTTCTTTTAGTTGCACTTTAATCGAGACTTTTTGTAAAAAAGTAAGCAATTCGTATCATATGTAGATGTGCATAGCTCAAATTTTTAAAATTTATCATTATTTTTGTAGGACTGGTTTGAAGTTACTGACAGTCACAACTTAAGAAGAGAAAGATTTTTGTTTTTGTTCAAAGGAAGAATATTTGTTACAGACCACAAAAGAGTTGGAGCAACACGCTCAATTTATCTAGTCAAAAATGTTATCAAGGTAAAAATCATTTTTTTTATTGCAGTATAAATATTGTATTACTTAAGAAAACGCTGTAACGCGGGAGGAACTTTTAATGGCAAATTTGCTTTCACCCCTACTTGAAATTTGAAGATTAGAGAAAATTCAGAAAATAAAGTTCATGTAAACCTAGAAAGAAAAAACCATGAAGTTTTTCAATGCTGATTAAATGCTTTCAAAATATGAGAAGGCAAATAAATTATGGCAGGACAACTTTAATACGTGATCCTGTCATAGTTTTGAAAAACATTTTCAGCATTTGAAGCTTACTGGTTTACCTGATGATAAAGGCAAATAAATTATGGAGGATTACCTTTCTACTGCATAATCCTCGCATATTTAAAAAAACATTTTCAACATTTGAAACTTAATGGTTTGCGCTATGATAAAGGCGAATAAATTATGACAGGATTACTTCCCTACTTCGTAATCCTGTCATCATTTAAATTTTTTTTCAGCATTTGAAACTTAATGGTTTTCTCTATGATAATGAAAAATAAATTGTGGAAGAATTACTTCCCTAGCACGTAGTCCTGTCATAATTAAAAAAAAAATTCTCCATTTGAAAATTAATGGCTTACTCTGATAAAGACAAATAAATTATGGCAGGATTACTTCCCTACTTCGTAATCCTGTCATCATTTAAATTTTTTTTTCAGCATTTGAAACTTAATGGTTTACTCTATGGTAATGAAAAATAAATTGTGGAAGAATTACTTTCCTAGCGCGTAATCCTGTCATAATTTAAAAAAAAAATATTTCTCCGTTTGAAAATTAATGGCTTACTCTGATAAAGGCAAATAAATTATGGCAGGATTACTTCCCTACTTCGTAATCCTGTCATAATTTTCAAAAACTCTCTTAGCATTTGAAATTTATTGGTTAGCTCTATAATTTCCCGAATTAAATTTTCTCGTTAATTTAAATTTTAAATTGCTTATGGCAAAAGAAAATTTGCCATGAAGGACTTCTCCCATAATATGACATCCTCTTAAGAAATTTGTAATACTTTTTTTTTACTATCAACATATACGATTGGGTCAGTATGGAGAAAAATAATCATTTCTTCTTTATATGCTTGCAATTTCACACAGAATTGTTTTTTTTTTAACGATATTTTAATCTCAACACCGTCTCAGAGTAAAGTAATATTTTCGATAAGCCAAATGGAAGATCAATAAAATTGTTATTCTGCATTAAATTAAAACTAGACAAACACTTTGCACACATGTCATAATAAAAAGTTACATTGTTGATATTGGACACTTTTTAACATTTTAGCGTACTCAAAATATTCTATTTTTTACTATTACGAGCTATTTAACGTTCAACAATGTTATTTTAACAGGGGGAACTATTTTTTTTTCACCTAAATATTTTCTAGCTAAGAAATATTTGTCTTGGCTACATGCCGATCTTAAGATTACAATGCCGTAAAATTCTAAGAAAAGAGTGGAATTTTTTTACTTTTTTTAATCCTTTTAAATGCCTTTGTCTTAACCAATTTTGTACAACAGATTCGAGAATAATGAATAACAATTATAGAATTACACTAGATGCAATTTGAGTTTTAGTTTCGGTACTTCTAAGGAAACTGATGTGTGGATACTTATCGATTTTAACACGTTCACGCCGGGGTGACCCACCGGTGGGTCACGCTAAATTGCCTCATCTTGGCAGCGCACCGGAGTAAAAACTGATAACAATAAATTTCATTTTTTAGTTTTTTTCCGGGAATAATAAAAATCCATAACTACCAATTGTTTTTAACGGATGCAATTTTTATATTGAATTGCTTCTTCGCCGTGATAAATTTCCTTACAATGAATTGTTATTATTGAGAATAGATTAACTCCTCCCGAATATTATCTAATATTGAATTAGTTCTTCTACAAGTATTTTCTCTCTTCCCTTACCAGTATTTCCGCTTTTCCCGGCGTGAACGTGTTAAGTAAGTCAAAGAATGTTTATGGATATTTTGGAGTTTTTACTAAATTTAACTTTCACCATAGTTTAGTTAAGAAATTTAAAATTATAAGATTGATTTGTATTGTAATTCTACTTGTATAAAATTTTTATTTCTAAAATCAACTTCTCATATTTAGGGATGCCACAGGCGACTAAAAATGTAAAATGTTGTAGAAAAAATTATAAAAAAATGACAAAATAACAAATATCTTAAAGAATTAGTGCAAATATTATTAAAAATGTGCTCGTCGTATAATTTCATACCTGCCAACTCTTCCGGATTTTCCGTAAGATTTTATTTTCATATTTAAAGTGGTAATAATTATATACAATTTTTTCTTTTATAATCTTAATTTTTAAATGATATTGATCACCACTATTCTTACAAAAATTAGACATGNAAAATTTTTATTTCTAAAATCAACTTCTTAAAATTTTTCTCATATTTAGGGATGCCACAGGCGACTAAAAATGTAAAATGTGGTAGAAAAAATTATAAAAAAATAACAAAATAACAATTATCTTAAAGAATTAGTGCAAATATTGTTAAAAATGTGCTCGTCGTATAATTTGATATGAATTGATTAGAATTCTCATGAAAATGTCTTGTCAGTAAACAAATAAACAAAAAATGAGTAAGTAAATAAATAAAACTATAGCAGTGAAACAGTAAGTAAAAAATTTGACTACATAAGCTGTAAAAAATTTCAGTTTACTTCAACACCAAAATATTTCACAGTGCACTAGAAAAAGCAACGTCAAAATGCAACGGCTATAGAAATGATGATAGACATTACCTGTGTCACATTGAATGAGTTCATACGTGCCTTGTCTAGTTATCCATAAATTTTAACCGTTTTACTGTTTTTAAATTTTTTTTTGCATGAATATCAATTTAAATTACGTGTTTTTATTCAGCTTCCAGAAGTAGAGATTGTAGATTGTGCGGATGACGACGATCTGAAGCTCAGATTTCAAAGTCTGAAGAGCGGCACATCAGGACTTCCTTTGACAATTAAGAGCAAAACAATAGAGCAAAAGGATGATTGGTTAGGTGCCATACAACAATCGTCTGCACCGCACGGTAAGATATTGAGTAGATAATAATTCTGAATAAAGAAAATAAAATAAAATTCTGAATTAAAGCATAGATGCAAACTGCTCCGGATTCGACAAAATATTTAAAAGAAAATATGGTAGAGATCAACAAAAATATTTTAAATGATTTAGTGAACACGTTAGTTCAAACAACATTTTAAACTAATATGAGTGCAAAAGGTTAATATTAATTGATTTATTAAATTATACAGAAATAAACACACATAGACAATGATAGTGTTACAAATTAATTTATCACTTACTTTACTTTAGTTCTAAATTTAGCTTACAGGCTGAACTGTTCTGTTACATACTTTTCGCTATTTTTGTTGATCTCTTTTAGTAATTTCTCAAGAACTTTGATAAAGGAATCACAAAATAAAAAACTATGTCAAAGATTATTTTCGAAAGATTCTTTTTAATATCAAGATTTAAGAAGAAGTTAATTTGCAAACTAAGCAGTTAAGTAATAAATTTCAATATTTATATTAATAACTTAAACATTTCTCAATTTCAGTTGAAGATCTGGGAGACGATGAATTTGATTTGGTTGAAGACCAGGCTGCAAAGGTAGAAGAACTGTATGAGAAGCATGAAATGAAAGTTGAAGTGATAGATGATTTTGAAGCCTATGAAGAAATGCACACGGTGGTGACAGAAAGTGTACGTTCAGGATCCTTAACTTCACTAGAAGGTAAGGAATTTTAAGAGAGTAATTTCGAGACAAATTTATATTTACAGACAATTCTTAAAATTGACACCATGGACAAGCATTGTCAGATCCTTGTCGTATGTCATTTGGATCTTAAATGTTCTGTTCCTAAATTAATCATTTTAACGAAAAAAAAATAATATTTGGAAAAAAAAATGTCAAAGTACCGCATAAAGCAAACCGAAATCATCAAGCAAAGAGCTTAAGAATTTACATATTTAACTAATTAAGGAGGATGGAAGAAATTTGTTTTTCACATGCTTATAATTTTAAGACCGTTTTTAACTGGATGTTCTATTAGTACAATTAGATATTTCGGCAAGGATTTTATATATGTGCGACCATGGATGTGTTTATTGCAGTTCTTCTGTATGCGTTCAGTTTCACACAAGTGCACTTCTTAAATTGATTAATATTTTCAATATTACATGGTATATGAAATGTTTTATTATTACACGGTAAGAAATGTTTAAACATATATTCCATTTACAATATGCTCTATATACATGTTGAATATTATCTATAGTAAGAATTTATGTTATGGTTTTAGGCTTTAAAAGCTGAACTGAATTTAT